AACGGGTTCTTATCCCTAATAGGTCAAGTTTAAAATAGTCATTCAGATCCTTTATAATTTGGCCTGCCCCTTACCCACCCAAGTTTCCTTATTACTTAGCAAGAGAGAATGTGGCCCAGCCACTTTCCTAATACTTACCTCTGAATATGCTTCAGTCTTTTCTGAATCTCTTCTCACTGTTCCTATCACTGCCCTGAAAAGTTCACCACAACATATCTTATATATCCAAATCAACCTAGTCTTCAAAACTCAAGTTCAGGTTCTGACTCCTTCATGTCACCTTCCCAAATTCTTGGCTGAGCTTCCATAATCATTTCAGCAACAAGACTATAAGCTCCCTGGGAGTAGAAACTGTGAATTTAGCTGCTTTTCCATAATCTCTCCCAAGTCTCTACAACTAATGACATGGTAAACAAAAAAGATTTAAAGATGGAAGGGACCTCAGCAATTATCTAGTCCAACTAATTCTCCTCTTACAAAGGAGAGCACTGTGCAAACCTTAAAGTTCTCTCTAATTTTGAGGGGTTTTTTTTTGTTTTTTAATGCTGGATTTGGAGTCAGAAGACCTGGATTCAAATAAGATTCAGTTTCCTCATCTATGAAATGGGGATAATACTATCTACCTCATAGGATTCTTGTGAGGATCAAATGAGAATGTATATAAAGTACTCCATAACCTTTAAAACATTATATAAATGCAGCTATGTTATTATTACTACAGAGGAAGCTAAGGCTCAAGAAAGGTTCAATAACTTGCTCAGTGTTCCACTGTCATAATCAGAACCAAGAACTTCTGATTCCAAATCCAGAACTCTTTGTACTATATCACTCTCTTTTTAGGGGTGACACTCGACATTTTAATAATCAAATATTAACTGATCACTTTATATGTGCAAGATGCTGCCCTAACTGCTGTGGGTGAAAATAAGGTCACACAAAGTCACAGTCCTGTCCTCTGGAAGTTCACAGCCTAGTTGGGAAGATAAGACATGTACAGATGACAAAATAACTACAATACAAAAAAGTATATTTTATATAAATGCCAAATGAGTCACAGACAATACTTGAGGAATGCAGAAGAAAAGACCATTTTGACTAGATAATCAGGAAAGGTGTTGTGGAGGAGGTAGGATCTGAGTTACCATTTGAACAACAAATAAAGAGTTTTAACAAGTGGAGAGAGGAGAAGATAGGGCAACCCAATTGGAGGGGTGGGGGAAGAATGATACAAGCAAAAACAAGAAGGTAGGAAACATCTAAACTAAATAGACCGTCTAAAGACAGTCTATTTGGTTGCACATGTTTTGTGTAGGAAGTGGTTGGGGCCAGAATGTAATAGGTCTTCTTTTAGAGTTAGATAGAGCAGGGATAGATACTTAACAGTCATCCTTCCACAATAATGACCTTCAAATGGCTAAGAAAAGTTGGCTTAATGATATTTTAAATAAAGTCACATTAGGCAAAGTCATTTAAACTCATGAATTCAGACACTACTGAAGTGATCATTGAGCCCTTACACAAATAGTAGTAATTTCTTTCCAAATGCAGAAAGATGACTTTCTTTTTTTTGACTAATTTAAACTAAATTGGGAGATCTTTTGAAAATAGGAAAGGGGTTGGTGGGAGAGAGTAGAAGAAAGCTCACTTTTCTTTTCCAACAGAACCTGTACGCAGAACTCACCATATCTCCTGATAGTTTAAGTTTCTCTTTGTGGCCCAGGTGAAATAACCACTAATTTTTGCTTTAAAAAAATTTCTACATGCCATAAGTATAATCAAATTTTTAAAAGATAAGTATGTGATTTTGCTGTAGAATACACTGAAAAAAAGGTTATGTAAAAAATGTGATGTCTCCTGTGAAAAGATTTAGAAAACGTAGAGGATTGTAAATGCAATACAAGTCACCAGCAGGACTCAGCTGCATTAAGGAAGTACATTATCTAGTATAGGAGAGTATTGTGATAGTACAGTAGTCAGTCCTCTACTGAAAATGGATCTGAAGTATTGTGGTCATTTCTAAATACTTTGTTTTAACAAGTTATTTGATAAAGCGGAGACCTTCAGGAGAACAGTGACCTGAAGGATGATCTGAAGGATGATGAGGATCCTCAAAACCATGCTTTTTGTTGTTCAGTCATTTCAGTCATGTCCAACTCTCTGTGATCCCATTTGGGGTTTTCCTGGCAAAGATACTAGAGAACTTGCTACTCCCTTCTCCAGCTCATTTTACTGATGAGGAAACTGAGGCAAACAGGGTGAAGTGACTTGCCTAGGGTCACACAAATCTGAGGCCACATTTGAATTCAGGCCTTCCTGACTCCAGGTCTGGCATAACATCCATTGTGCCACCTAGCTGTCCAAAACCATGCTATCTATAGGAAATTAAATTAAAGAAAGAGAAAATGTTTAGCCTGAAGAGAAGGGCTTTAGGTGGGAGTGAAACCAAAATATTTTTATTTGGGCATCTAATGAACTGTCAAGTGCTGGACAAAATGGGGAGCAATGAATAGAAGCTACTGAGTGGTAGACCTTGGCTTCACGTAATGAAAGATTTCCTAAGCACTGGACCAATCCCAAAGTGGAAAGTTCTGACTGGAGGAGGTCATAGGCTACCACTAAAAGTGTTCAAGTGAACATGCAGGACTTTGTGGCAAATCATCCTTGATTCTTCACTTCTCCCTCTCACACCCATACCCCATCAGTTGCCAATTCTCATCAATTCTATCTCCATAATATCTTCTTCTTCTCTTCAATCTCATGGCCATGACTAATTTCAGGCCATTATCATTTCTCTATTTCAATACCTTCCTAATTTGTCTCCCTGCTTCAAGTCTCTCTCCTCTCTAACCCAACCTCCACACAACTACCAAAATAATATTCCTAAAACACAGGTCTGACCACGTCACTCCCCTGCTCAAAAAGCTCCAGTGACTCCCTGCAGCTTCTAGGATTAAAAAGTCCTCTGTTTAGCATCCAAAGTCCTTCATACTCTGGTTTCTGTCTCTTTCCAGACTTATCAGTCCTCTCTTCCCTCACTCTACAGCCCAGTCAACCAGGTCTATGTGCTGTTCCTCACCCATGACAGGTGAGCATCCCAGGTCCAGATTTTCTGCTTTTGTACCAGCCAACCCCAGGTGTCAAATGTGCCTCCTCCTCACTTTCACCTCTTAGAAACCTCGGATTCTTTCAAACCTCAGTTCAAGAGCTACTTCTTAAATGAGGTCTTTTTTCATCCCCTCAACTGTTAGTGCCTCCTTTCAGCCCTGAAATTACCTTGTGTGTGAGAATGTACACAGTCTTCCCTTTCCTGCCTCCTTCTCTCCTAAGATCTTTTAGAATTGTAACTTTCATTTTTCTTGGTTTTCATTTTCATTTTTCACAGTCTTTGAATCCTCAGCACCTACCATAGCGGCTATCACATAGTAAACACTTAATGAGTATTTCTTGTTAATTCCAGAAGGTCATTAAGGTCTCTTCAAACTCTGAAATTCTGTAATTAGTCATAATTGTTATCCTTTTAATAGAGTTAACAAAAATATCCACATATAACCTCTTGATTTAGAGATGATTTACTAATTAACTTTGACAAATAATATTTTAATGTAAATGTAATTTTTTTTTTTACTAGATCTATGATTTCATTGGCATTCCTCTACCAATGCAGAATAGCACCTGCTGCTGCAACTTAGGTTAAGTGACTTGCCCAGGTCAATGAAGACAGTACAATGAAGCAGAACCTGAAACCAGGTCTCTCAGACTCAAAGGTCAGCTAAGCTACACTTGTTTTAAATAGTATACACCTTCTAAAAATAAAAATCCATGGTGTTTAAATTGTTAAAAATTTGCATTAAGGTTATATCACAAAAGAATTTAAGCTCCTTGAGGACAGGAATTGCTTCATCTTTGTCCAATGCACCTAACAGAGTCTGGCAATAAACAAAAGTTCAATAAATGCATGTTGACTTGAAGAATGCACTCAAGAAAGTTTCAGTCTTAACTCTCCATTTAAATACATCTACCAAAAACAACACTCTAAACTTTGCCATTAAAGAGATCATTTCAAGAAGAAAGCTCACATCTCTAGACCTATCACAATTGCCAGTAGATGGGGCTTTTCAAAAATCAAATAAAATAGTAGAAGTTTGGCAATGCTTCAAAGCAGTTACTCCAGAATGGGAGGCTTGTGCCTGTCACTAATGGGGGGTGAGGGTGGAGAACGGGGCTTCAAGTATTATTCTCTTACCTCTCCCCCAATCTATCGAATTCTAAAGACACTTCAAAATTTTTTTTTTAAGTAACAAGCCTAGTAATACAGAAATTATTCAAAATATTCAAGGAGATTGTGGGGAAAGAAGGCAGTGTAACAAAAAGACAAAGGAAACAAAATCCTAGCTATCGGAAAGGCTGTATGTCACATTCAGCAAGTCTAGGGCAGAAGGCAGTGTGTTATTTGCAATTTCCTGCACGACTCGTAAAGCACTGTGATTACAAAAGTAGGTCACATCAATACCCTCCCCCTCCTGAGGCAACAGCTGATACATGAGGAAAAGTTATACTTCAGCAAGAGCTCCAGGGAAGACTTAGCTATAATAAATATAGCCGCCCAAAGAAGCGGAGGGAGAGACCCTGAAAAATCCACCTACGTCAGGGATAAATTGGGGGGAGGGGAAGGTGGGGATGACATGTTTCATGTCACCAGCGTTATACAATGAATCTATCCCTGGAGAGCTTAGCTGCTAAAAGTTACACACTACACCTTTTTTTTTTTTTTTAAACAAAGGTAGGTCTACAGCAGCCTGTTTTAAATGGAAGAAAATCTTGGTCAAACCCTGAGCTTTTTCATCTTTTCACCTGCTTCTTACGACGCTCTGGGTAACCTTTGGGTCCCACCCCGGTGGCCTGAAGGTAGCGTGGGAAAGAAGGAGGGGCTCTGGCTCACTCTCTCTCTCACACACTCACAAAGACACTGATACATACACTCTTCTCACTCACACACTTACCCAGATCCAAAGCCTGGTCGTATTTGTGCAAGGCTGCGTCCAGCTCGTGTTGGTGCCGCAAACTCTCCGCCTGGCTGGCTAGCCTCCGCACCCGGCTCTCTGTCTGAAAACATTTCTCGAGCAGGTTGCCCAGTACCACGTTGACTCGAGAGGGGCAGCTGTCCCTTCGACTGGGCGGGGACTTGGCGGCTGGGCAGCAGGGGCCGGCGGGAAGCCCGGGGTCCGTCTCGGTGCAGCGCTTGCACAGAGTGTGTCCGCAATGCAGGGTCACTGGGTCGCAGAGCAGGAGCCGGCACCGCGGGCAGCAGAACAAGCCCCAGGCAGCGCCGAGGCTGGAGGACGAGGCGGAGGCGGCGGCAGAGAGTGGGCCGGCGGCCGTAGCCGGCTCATCCCCGGCGCTGGACTCGCCGCCGCCGGCGGGGGCTGGCTCCCAGGGGGGCAGGCGCAGCTCCTCGCGGATGGCCAGGGCGCAGCTCTCCACGAGCTCCTTCAGCTCCTCCGGCCGCAGGCTGCCCAAGCGGGCGGCCACGCTGTACGAGTCCAGCGCCTCGGCGGCGCGGCCGGCCCGGGCCAGCGCGTCCCCTCGCCGCAGGCAGAGGCTGCGCTCAGGCTGGGGCAGCTCGGCCAGCTGCGAGCCGTAGATCTCGGCCGCCAGCTCGTAGTTGCCGCCGCGGAAGGCCTCTTCCGCCACCGCCAGCAGCTCGGGACACGGGGCCCCGGAGGCCGGGCCCGGCGGCGGCGAGACCGGCTCGGTCCGGCCCGGCTTGGTGCCCATCCCCGCGGGGCAGAGGCGCCCCTCACGCCATAGCCGCGCGCACTGGGAAGACTCGGAGAAGGGTGGGGATGGGGTGGGGGGAGGGAGAAAAGAAAGGAAGGAGCGGAGCAAGGAGGGAGGACGAGGATGGAGGGAGGGAGGAGGACGGGAAGATGCTCCACTCCCCCGTTCCCGGGCGGCGGCAGCAGCGGCGGCGGGGCTACCAGCGAGGAGAGGAGCTGCTGCCGCCGCCGCCGCCGCCGCCGCCAGTTAGGGGTCCCGGCGGCAGCGCGGCGCCCCGAGCTGTGGCAACGACAGCCGGCGGCGCTCGCAGCGGCTGGGCCCGGCCATCAGAGCGGGGAGGGCGGCGGGGCTCCCCGGCGGGGCTGCATCGCCCACCCGGCCCAGAAGAGTGGGACAGGGGAGAGATGGAGAAGGGTTGGGTCGGGGAGTGAGAGAGCTCCCCCTTCCCCGGAGACCCTCTAACTTCGGGCGGCGGGCGCACTCCCCAAGCCCCGGGAATGCCTGGGGTGTGTGCGGGCTGGGCTGGGCTGGGCTGGGCGAGCAGAGCAGAGCCGAGCGCCCTCGCCGACACGCACGCACCCTCGTTCTGCCGCCGCTCCGACTCCCGCTCGCCAGCCGCCGCCGGAGACCCCACCCCCACCTCGCGCGCGCGGAGCCCCCTTCCCCCACCCCGAAGCCGGGGCAAGCCGCGCTGCGCGAGCGGGGGCGCGCGGACCGACTGACGCGCGGGCCGGCGGGCGCAGCACACTCACACACACTCACACCCAGTCCCCTCAACACGCAGGCGCGTCGCTGCCCCAGCCAGGCGGGGATGCCGGAGGAGTCCCCACAGCCTCCCGCCGCTCTCCCCGAGGGGTCAAGCTGGGGCCAATGCCAAGCTTGCTTTCTACCCCCACTTAGAGCGTTCCCCCTTTTCTAACTCCTCTTCCTCCTCTCCCGACCGGGAGCCCCGCCTCCCAAGCGCCAGGTAACCCCAAACACACCCTCCCACCCACTCCCACCAAGCTCTACCCCCCCCTCCCCCGCGCCACAGGCTCTGGCACGGAGCTCGGGAGCCACGTGAGACCGAAGGCGGCGGCGGTTATTGGCGCGCGCCACTCTTCCCCCCCTCCTCCTCCCCTCCCCGACCGGCTTATGTAATCAGAGTCAGTTGTGTAACTGTGGCGACCCTCCCCCCCCTCGGCGTCTCCGCCAACTCCTTTCCATTCTCCTCCCGGCCGGCGGCCCTGGCAGCGGCCCCCAGCCGCCGCCGCCGCAGGAGTCAATTGAGCAATGCGTGGATCGGGGAGCGTGGGCTTCACTACCCCCCACCACACCCCCACACCCACGGTGTCCCCAGGCTGCTGCTTCCCCGGGCTCGTCCCTCTCGGGTCCGGTCCCCGCGGCCGCCCGGCCCGGGCTGTGGGGCAGGGCGGGGCCGGGGCGCCCCCCGAGTCCCCTCCGCGCGTGGGGCCGGCCACAGCCCGGCAGGTGGCGGGGTGCTCGCCCTGGCCGCAGCCGCTCACCTCGCGGAAGTTGGCTGCACACCTTTTTGGTGTGCAACCTTTCCCACGGCGCGCGTGTACGTGTACACACACACACACACACGCTTTCTCATCTCCTTTACACGCACGCGCGCGCTCAATACTTTTCTCCCCCAAATCGAAGCAAACCGGGTCAGCAGCACGAAGTCAGGGAGAAGAGAGAAAGGTGCTCAGGGCACGAATTGCATTTCGCCTTTCGTCGTTAAGGCTTCTGGCTAGAGGGGAAGTCAGAACAATGGGCAGAAGTTACAGGACAGCTGGACCATCCGCAACCCAGGTTCAACCATCGTGTACACCCACACGTATATGCATACATACACATGCATATACACACATATGTATTCACACGTACACGTGCAGGTTTGTATCGATGAGTGTATATGCAATACATATACCTATGTATATAATAGACATGTATACACGGATATACCTAGCTATACATGCACGTATAACAATTCTATATATGCATATACATGCATGTATATGTCTGTATACACACTAAGCAAAAAAAGGAAAATAATAAAGTGCCTGCTTTCCAGGAGCTCGAATTTCATGGAGGAGACTACAGGCGAACAACGATGTACAAATAAAAATAAGTGAAGGGGTGTGCTGAAGAGCCAGCTAGTTCTGACTGGATTGTGAGATTGTTGAATTTTCAGGGTGAGCATTACACATCAGAAATGGACAAATCAAGGCTTGAACTCATTTTGTAGACTGTCTAGACTTAAGAAAGGGAGGAAATAATAATGCAGATTAAACTTGAAGGGGTGTGTGTGTGTGTGTGTGTTTTCCAGAGAGCCTCTTGTTAAACATAGACCAGCACACACCTGAACAGACTGTCAAGGTAAGGACTAGACCTGTGATTTCAGCTGGGAGGTCCCAGTTGAAGAAGCTCCCTCTACCAATGTAAGTCATCACGATCTCTGCAATTTATAATGTCTCAGAATCAATGCTTTTTAATGCAAAAATAAAATACATGGAATTACAAAAGAAATCAATAATGCTGAAATATTGTTATTAAAAATAGTTTAGAAAACATTCTCTGATGGAAGTTAAGAACCCCTACCTTAGAAATTTGCCTGTAGCACCACCAGGTTAAATGATTGCCCACGTTTTAAGATCAGAGCTGGGATTTGAATGAAGGCCTTCAAGCAGAGCAGACAAGTTACACACTCCTATTTTTTCTTTCACTCACAAATTTTCATTTAAAAGGAGAAAAGCCAAGGTAATGACTATTCCCACAGCACCAGCAACAATTGACAACTATAATCTGTAGTCTTCTTTCAAGACAGGAAATATAAGCAGTAAAATTCCGTATTACGGAAAAAGATTTGTATGCTTTGCCTTAATAAATAGGGAAAACAAAAACATCCAAAGATAGTGACTCTCAAAGTGGAGTCCTACAGTAAGTTTAGAAGCTGCTAGATTGGTAGGAAAGAATAGAAAGGGTAGAAGTGAAAAATACAACTTGCAACAAGGGTAGGGATAGATTGGAGGAGAAAGGAAGTAAATCTTGAGAGAACCAAAATATTGTGAAGAAGTGAGAAGTACTGAAATTTCCTCATTTTAAGCAGGAAGTAGTACTATTGTATGTTAGATGAGAGAAAGAATCAAATTTTTTGCATCATAGAATCTTAAATTGAGAAGTGGACAGAACGTAGGAAGCTATCGAGTCCAACCTCCTCATTTTAACAAATGAGGGAACTGTGTGCCCAGGGTCACATAGCTAAAAAGTGTCTGAAGTAGAATTTAAGTCCAGGTGTTAACTGATTCCAAGTCCACTAGGTATCCTATTCTCTTCTCCCTTGCCCTGCAATACAATATGCATCCTGAAGTAGGGGGTTTGAATTCAGGAAACTTGTTCCCATTCTTTTTCTATAATTGGATCTTGTCTTCCGAAGGTAAAAAAAAATTTTTTTTTTTGAGCAGGGATTTGTTCTATGTTTCTGTTCAGCGCATGGTACAATATTTTGAATCTTGAAGAAATGTGATAAAACTTCAATTCATATTCTATAAACTTGGAATTTTCAGTAATTTACATATGGAGTAATTTTGCTATACCACTATGAAGAAAAGATTTTACTAACCAAATTAATAGCTTAAATAAAGTTTACCAAAAAGCAAAGATGAACAACTGATTTCAGATACCACTTGAAGTATGTTTGCATATAAAAACAAATAGGCTAATAATAATTAAGCAATACACATTAGAACCTTTCAAAGTTTTGGAGTATGCTAATTGCATGGAGTCTACTCTGTCCACCCCTGGTCCAATCATTGGTTTATGCGTGGGAGTAATAAAATACATTTTCATAAGTATCCTTCAACTGATATTGTTCCCTAGTTAAATCTAATATTCAACAAAGATAGGCATTGAGGATACTCTGTGCTGATTCACGTGAGAGAAGCTCTCTTGCTCAATTGCACGTTGTTTTTCCCGAGATGAAGCATCAGAGCTCCCTTGGAGTTCCTCCTCTTGACTGCTTCATACTTAGGTGACCAGGAAATGATGGCATGGAAAAGATTCTGAAAGTCATGAGTGATGTTAACCTATGTAAGAAGTGTGAAACTTATACAAGGTATCCCTAAGAGGTAATCAAAAGCCTTCTACCTTGTTATTGTTTCCAAAGTGTTATGAGAGAAATGTTTCTTGGTGTATGATTTCCCTGCCTGGATACATTACAATCCAGTTTTATTTCCTTCATCTTATCAGTAGCGCACTATCAGATGAAGTTCCAGACTGTAGAATACATTTTTCTGCATGAGAAACCCTTATCCTTTCATGTCACAGATTACCTTTTCTCTCTTTATGGGGCTCACCATGGAGTCTGACACACAGATCATACAGGACGTGGCATTTTTATCCACATTGGTCTTCCTTGGCAGGTAGTACACACTGACAGTTGGACAGAACCACCTCTGGCTGGTGGCATCCAACTTAGTACTTGCCAGACTTTAGGTCAGAGGGTTGTTGTTAGTCCTGAAATCAAGATCCATATATACAGTCTCAAAACTAATCAATAACAGCCTACTTTAGGCCAAGTATTATATTTTGTGCATGAGATAATAGGTCTCTCTGTGACTGGAAGATACAATAGATTTCTGGTATCCATAGTACTGCTATAAATTACCCCCAGGACACCTAGATAGTATCAGTATATTATCAATTTATGCTGTATATCTCTTTTTAAAATTTTATTTATTTTTTTTAGTTTTCAACATTCACTTCCATAAGATGTTGAGTTCTAAATTTTCTCCTCCTCTCTCCCCTCACCTCTCCCCATGACTGCATGCAATCTGATATAGGCTCTACATATACATTCATATTAAACATATTTTCACATTAGTCATGTTGTAAAGAAGGATTAGAACCGGGGCAGCTAGGTGGTGCAGTGGATAGAGCACTGGCCCTGAAGTCAGGAGGACATGAGTTCAAATCTGGCGTCAGACCAAACACTTGACACTTACTAGCTGTGAGCTGTGAGGCCCTGGGCAAGTCACTTAACCCCAATTGCCTAAAAAAAAAAAAAAAAGAAAGAATAAGAAGGATTAGAACCAATGGGAGAAACCACAAGAAAGAAGAAACAAAAAAAAAAGAGTAGATACTATGCTTCAATCTGCATTCAGACTCCATAGTTCTTTTTCTGAATGTGGATAGCATTTTCCATCAT